ATATAATTGAATGTAGCCTACTGTGCAGCTGCAGCCAAAAGTTGAACTGACTTTGAACTCTAAGAGGGGATAGAGAGGATACAGCTGCAACCTCTTGGTTGTAGTTGGGTCATTGTTTGTTGGTTGGCACAGTGTTTGGAAAACATCCGGACTGCGAAATGCAGCTATGGAAAATCTGAGAGTCTGAGGCCTGCTCAGACTCACTGCACTAACTAGCTGCGCTGCTGCTGACTATATTTGGCCTCTAGAGGGCAGCAAATCCCCTTCACTGGCTGTGACGTGAAGAAGTGGTGCATTACACTATCCCGTACAGTGGGGGCGGTAGAGCCACACCTAACATGTTGGATATCCGCACACGAAGAAGAAAAAGAATCCCACTTTGAAATGTTGTTATCTCGTGTGTTGAAGAAGTGAAGCTGCCGCCTTTAGAGTTTTCTAAATCTCTCTAACTTATAGAAGAGTCAGTTAACAGGTGGAGTTTTGAGCTGGTTAACGGTTAATGTAGAGTTTGTATGTACTGTGTTAAACTGAGACGTTAGCTGGTTGTGAATGACTGTAGCTAGCTGTCACTAGCTAGCAGAGATGTCCTCGTCGTGGACACAGCCCCAGGGACAGGGACAGGTGGGAGACCTGAGAAACCAGAGCAAAGAGGAGCTCCAGGAACTGATCCTGCGACAGGAGAAGATGCTTTCTAACAAGTGAGTTCACACTGCTCCAGTTTGTGCCTCCCGTGTTTAGGCTATATGGGAGTGCTATGTTCACGCGTGACTTGATATGTGGCGTAGTTTCATATACAGCAGTGACAGTATGACAGAAGAGACTGAAGCACGCACAAAGTTTGATTAGTTGTGATGAGAGCTGCTGAACCACCCTGCTGTATTGTTGACCAGAGTACCGGATGTGGTTTGTCTCTGTCCTTTTTGGACTGATTGCAACAAATGTTTATGGTTGAAAACAAGTGCAACGCTTCTCTGTGTTGATGATATAGACTAGAGCCTATACTACCATTACAACATAGCTTTAGCCTTCTAACTGTACACATTGATGTCAGCATCCAAGCCCATTTAAAATGTGACTAATATGTCAATATGTCAACTTGTATTCATATACAGCAGTATTAGATCGCGTACTAATAAGAGTATACAATACTGGTATGATTATACAGCGATTTAAAAGTTGGATTCAACGTGACTTAAGCCAGAAGACAGATGCCTGAAGAAGAAAAAAAAAGCTGAAGAAATGAATGGATAAACGTAACAAATGCAGATCATTTCGTTCAGGGTCAGTGAATGGTTTCATGAATAAGAAAATTATGTGAAACAATTACTATATCAAATCAACTGAACACCTGTGGAGAGTTTGGATCCAACAACTTAGAGAATAACTTAAAGAAGGGTGTTCATTTGTTTGACTTTCACAAAGAAATCTGTCTGTCTAAAACATTAGTGTTGGTTTGTTTGTCTCTCATCTGTATCTTGAATGATTGTTTTGAATTTAGCATCAAATTATGCTTTTGTGTTGTTCGTAGGAGGTTTTTACAGAGTCTTCCTGACAAAGGGAAAAAGATACAAGAATTTGCGGAGAAATTGCGCCTTGCCATTGAACACCACGATGAAGAGGAGAGGAGACAGAGTTTGGAGTCTGTTGCCAGGACAGAGTTGCAGTCCAAGTATCGGCAGGCTTTCATATTGCAACAACGGGCTATCCCCAACACACCAGCAGCCTCACACCAAAACGGGCAAAGTGAGGCTGCTGCAGGTGATGTGGTACAGGAGAAGCAGACCTCACCTGTCTCAGCTCAAATGCTGGAGAACACTTTGGATGAGCAACGGGACCAGTTTGTCTCCAGCGCAGCTGCTGGTGAAACGATGGAGACGGAAGCTGCTGGTGTCTCTTTGAACTCTGACGACACAAAAGAGGGAGACCTCGTGGAGGCCTTGGGCAGGGTCAAACTGTCTGAAACTAGTTCTGGTTTTGAGTCTAAAGACCCATTAAACGGCACAGCAAGAGACAATTACTTTCTGGGAAAGGAGATGCCCAAAAAGCCCCACTATGTACCTGTCCTGGAAAGAACAGAGAAGACTTCAGCTCTCAGGCAGCAAAGATTCAAACCAAATCAGTGAGTGGACTTCATGATGCGATGATTACTTTTGTAAACATTTATGCCAAAAATACTTACATTAGTATGTGGATTTCATTCAGCAACATCATAGTTGTTATTATAAACAAACATCTTCTCAACCGTGTTTCCAGGCTGCCTCACAGAAGTGACATCTCTCCCTCAGGATCCTCGTCACCCAGCCGGTCTTCTGAAGGTTCGTCGCCTCTCCCGGCACACGCAAGGCGGGAGCGGGACAGAAAACACCTGGATGACATCACTGCAGCCAATCTCCCTCCGCTCCACCACAGTCCGGCCCAGCTTCTGTCTCTGGACGAGTCGGCCGTCCTCCAGAAGGAACAAGCCAAGAAGCAGCAGGTTAGTGCAGCCGAGTCCCCCACACACTCTCATCCTATAGATCCAGCGTGAACATTAAACTGCAGGCAGACTGACACATAGATCTCAATATATCAATATCATAACGGTATTGTGATACGAGACTATATATTATAAATGTAATATGGCATAAGTGTTGTCTTTTCTTGTTTCTAAAGGCTGCATATCAGTAAAGTGATGTCTAAACTTACCAGATCGTTCTAGCTGTTATAATCCTTTACCCACATAGTCATCATATCCACATTATTAATGATTATGTGAAAATATCATTGTGTAAATATTTTGTTGAAGCACCAGTGGTCAAACCGTACATAATCGACCCAATATTGATATTGAGGTATTTGGTGAACAATCTTGTGATATTTGATGTACTTCATATCGCCCAGCCCTACTTTAAATGAAGGAATAATACTTCTCACTATGCTGGGTGGTATCATGTTGAGGAACAGTATTTTAATGTCTTCAGTTCAAATCAAAAACAGCTCTGTGTTACAAAATATATCCATGAAATTTTAATATAGGAAATAAATCGATTTTGTTCAGCTATGTGTGGACATACAAATAATTTTTAAAAGTTTTTTTCTCTCAATGTATTTACACATAAAATGTTTTGTATTATGAGAAAGGATGTCGCTCTCGGTGGTCGCATCAGCATCATTTTATCTATAGTAGAAAGGTGACGCTCATGTGACTAAAGATAAGCAGCATTGGGGTCTAACAAAGGTTGAGCAGCTTCAGCTGTTTTGCTGGAGTTCTCTGCGTCGGCGCCTCTGAAGAATGAGAGCACCGTGTGCTTTCACACGGTGTCGGAGTCATTCTGAACAAGGCCTTCATTTTAACTTCTGTAAAACCCTCACAGAAAGGTAAATATATTTGTCCAGTAATTACTACTATTTGTTCATACAGCATCATTATGTGTAATAGATGAAAATAGCAACTCAAGAGTTTCTATGGAAAGGTTTTACAACAATCTAATTTATTTACAGTTGTGAGTTTGGTGTTGATATTTCACCGGGATGCAAAATATAAGTTTATACAATGGTGACTTATGACTTATGTTCTCATCCAATCAAATGGAGAATTAATTAATAATGAATCCAAGCATGAACTGAATGAAAGTCCACTATCAGATCCCTCCATCAGCTCTAGAGGGCAGTGTTCAGGCAGTGTAGGAGCTGTGTATCACTTCACATCCAAAGGAATGACTTTAGAGCCAAACGTCAAACAGTGTGCTGCTGTCAGCCCACGGAGGCCTGTTCAGCTTATTATCAGTCCTACTTTTGTTGAGGGTTTAATAGCTATGGCTGTGCTGCTTTATAATAATGTGCTTGTTGTCTGTTTACCAGCCTATTCATGTCAATGTTTTCTTCTGTGTTTTAATTTCAGGAGTTGCAGGCCAAGCTGGCAGCCCAGAAACTGTCTGAGGGATTGAAGATCTCTATGGGGAGCTACACTCCTGACAGTGGCCCCATGGCTGCCTACAGAGAGGTTCACGACGAAGGAGCCCAGCTCTCCTCAGAGGAGGACTGATCCTGGAAGGCCGGAGCTGGGGAAACCGGTTTGGCCTTGGCCCCTGATAGAAACGGGCTTTGGACCTCGCAATCAGGATCCATCAAACAGGATTTTCACTCCATGGACAAGAACTGTTAAGAGGGGAAAAGAGTCTTTGCACCGTGTAAAGACATAGTTGGTATCCCAGTCTCAGGAAATTGAATGGCGGGTTGAGAAACTAGCTTCCTTAATTATCATTCAGATCGTATCGGGTTCAGTTGTTTCAGTGTCCTGCGGGAATAATAACACCTGCTGTGGACTAGGAGTCTTGAATCCACATTTGAAGCATGTATCATGAGGGAAATGTTTCTTGTCAGTAAACTGAAGCCAATAATGTCATGGCTTTCTGAGCTCGAGAGGGTTGAACGTTAACGTTACTATTTTAGTGTGTTTGCACTTATATGCATCAGCAGGTGGAGCAGACTGATTGAAAACTCTTGAAAGAAATAGGCAGATAGTTACGTCAGATTTAGTTATTACAGAATTCAATAAATGTATCTGATTTCCCAAATTATTGTGTGAATTACAGACACTGAAGTTCCTCATCAGCCTTTTCAGTGCAGATGCTTTATATAGAAAAATTAAACTGCTTACTGATGAAAGAACATTGTTTTCTTGTCTGAGTGTTTAATATACCTGATCTATCTGCAGGTCTTTATATTAATCCATCTGCCGCCATCATACACTAGTTTTGATAATTGGAAGAGAAACTGTCATAATGTGATGATGTGCATCACAAGGTAAGAGTGTTACTGTGTTGTATTTAAAGGGCTTAACACACCTCTTAATTATAACATAGTGTGCATTATGGCCCACTGAAATAGATGTCCAGTCTAAAAACATGTAAGACAAAATTGTCCTTAAATTTCAGGAGTTATGTGCTTTGTGACTCATCTGGATAAGGAAATATCAAGTAATCGCTCCTCATATATGCTTTCTATAAACTTCATATTTATATTTTAAACAATGTTGACATTTGGACTCTTTTGTACATTCAGATAAAATAAGACCCAGTTTATCCAAAGCAGATTATCTACTCTTAAGTTTCACTATTTTCTGAGTATTAAATAGATGCAAACTATTGTATTGTTAGACTGATTTCTTTAAACCCTGTGAGATGTTATCAAGCAGAGATCTGTCACACACTTGATAAGATTAATGCAGAGGTAGTGAAATATTGAATCTTGATGCCTGAGACATCTGGACTGCATTTGGATCATGTTGTTGCTGGGAATGGCAGGCGATGATGGGACGGCAGCAGGCTAATGCAACATGGCAAATACCATTTCTCAACTTTGCTAATATGCGGTAGATAAGAAGTGCCAGCTACATTCAGCGTCTTTCCAAACTGCCTTTCCCATCATCGCTCTTCCAACTCTGGCAGAAGGCTGCAGGCTATCTTCATTTAAACAGCCACATAAACAGCCCGATTCAGGGATTTTAATGAGGAAGAAATGAGGCACGTTTTGGGGGAAATGAGGCTGGGTTCATGTAGGTCAGACTCTGGTGGTAGATGCCCCTTGATAACCTTTGGTAATTTTTGCTGAGGTATTGGTTTTAGGGGGGGAGGCATCTGATTGCTGTGTATTTAGACACTGTATCTGATGGGCTCCAGAGTGGCCCTGTGGTGACGTCCAATAACAAATACATGAGCACGCTCTGCAGAAGATCCTCATTGTGCTGGTATTAATTACAGCCTACCTTGCTTACATAAATTCAGAGACTGTTACCACTTATGGGGCACATTTTTTGCTGCAGCTTTTCTCTGTGGTATCTGGCGTCAATGCTAACTCTGAACGTTTGTTGACGTTGTTGAGGTGGAACCAAGCACACGCACTCTCTAGTCGAAGCTTTAAGTTGTCCATTGATGATGAGGCTGTTTATACTACAACTTGAATCCCAGGCCCCTTGTCTCAGATTAATAAACTCCTCGTGAAGTAGTCTGCAAGTGATTTGCTCCAACTCCGAGTCCGAAATCACACGTCTCGCGGGAGAAGAAATAATTTGCTGTTTGGGAGGGGAAACTGGAATGTGATTTCAAAACTGCCTCTTCAAAGACCAGTCAGCTCAGCCTTAAATTAGATATACAGTATGATGTATAGACTGGCGTTAAACACGAGTTAGGCCCTCAGCAGAATGATTGGATTATATCTGCCAGGTTACAAAGTCTGAGGTCATGCTTTTTCCATTCTCTGAAGTTTTTGTCATATTCTTTCAGGGCACATGAGGAGATGAAATAATGCAGCACACAGCAGCTTTCTGCAGATAAGGTGACAGCCTATCTCCTCATCCCGATTAGAACCAGTGCTCCCTCCTCTTACTGCACTGGGACCAGTGGTGGAAGAAGTACTCAGATCCTTTACTTCAGTTAAAGTACAAATACAACAATGTAAAAGTACTGTTACACATTAATGTATTGCATTGCAAATTTTACATAAGTAAAAATACAAAAGTGTTATCAGCTAAATATCCGTAAAATATTTTAATGTAGAAATACTTGCTCTGCAGTAAAATATCCCTGTGACAGTATAATTATATCTGACATTATTATGATACTGATGCAATAATGTTGAAGCAGAATTTTACTGTTGGAATCTTAAATCCTTAAAACTGTCGGGTACAGTATTTGAGTAATTGTACTCTCCGGCACTGACTAGAACCGAGTCAAGAGAAACTTCTTTTTAAACATTTTGAAATGTGTTTTACTAAATCTTAACATGTGGAAGACAAACCTCACAGCAGGTTGGAAAAAAGACAACGCGGCTCATTTGTGTTTCTCTAAAGTGTGAAAGTTGAACAAATGTTTCATATGCAAATGCCTCGAGCTGTGAATAAGAAACTTTTGTTGTGTGTGTGTGTGTGTGTGTGTGTGTGTGTGTGTGAGAGTGTGTGTGCGTGTGCGTGCGTGTGTTCTCTTGACACGGCGACGAGGAGAGTAAATACTTTCCTGACAGGGCTTTGCTGAGGTCTCCACTTATCTCAACGTGAAATGTGTGTGTGAGAGGAAGCTCGCACATAGTTCATGTCATGACTGTTGACTGCCAGAGGAAGCATGATATGTGGCTGCAACATTCATGAGAGTCCTGCGGCTGCCTGCCGATAGGAAGATGTTCCCTGACTGGTGGGTGAATCTGTTGAAGGAAAGGAAAAGACAGAGGTGCCTTGAACTGAGTGCCGGTTGTAAAACATAATCAGGGGAATGATTTATTGCATTTTTACATTCTTAAGATTAAGTTTTCTGAATCGTTTTGTCTTACATTCACCAGGCGTGGCTAGCTTATTGCATATGAATGTGGTCAGAGCTTGTGTTTGTCTGTTAAATACTGCACTCAGACACTGGCATTACAGTATATTAGAATCAGACCATGTTCTGTTCTATGTAGCCTGAACTGTACCAGGTGTTTTACACAGATTTAGTTCAAGTTGGATGCTTACCACAATTTTATCAGATTTGCAGATGTTGGGTCTTTGCTATGTGACATTTTTTTTGTGTTGCTGGTCCCTCTCTACAAAGATGTCACTGTGTAAAGTTTAATAATCTATTAGATTGTAAATGGACCTCTAGCAGCAGAATGCTAAATATTCACCCAATCAAGAGCTTGAGTCTTCCTGTTCACTACAACATCCTGCTGCACACAAATACCTGTTACATCAATACACTACTCCTTCCATGATTGTTGCTAATGCTAATTATTTACTACATAGTCGTAATGTTTGCAGTATTTCCACCTGAAGAGTTTCAGGTATGTTTCAATACAACAAAATTGTGCTCAAGTAGCACTTCAGTAAATATCCTTTGTTGCATTCCACATCTGGATAAAGAAAATTGCATGTACTGTTTCATATTTGTGCCTCATGTGTTTTTTTTATTGAAAACTAAATTATTATAGTAAATTCAAATATGCATGACGTTAATAGATTTGTGTAGTCCCCCGTGGTACACAGATTCTTTAGATAAACTCATAGTTTTCAACAATCAACTTTCTGTGGACACAGTGAAAGTGTGTGTGGTCACTGGCAGCCGTATCCAACGTGTGCTTTTGTTTTTACACATGGTAAACTGTTGAGTGTGACAACCTCAGCAGCCCTGCTTTATTTCACACTTTTAAATGTTGTTTAGAGCAAAGGCCCATTTCTCCGTCCCTAATAACAACAGCCCATGTCTTACATCCTTCTCAAAAGAGCCCCCATCATCTCCATCCACTTTTTAATGAGTTGGATTTATTAGGTGTAATCAACAATGAATTACAGCTGTAAGTGGAAGCACATGTGCTTCTAATAATCTGTAAAGCTCAATAAAATGCACATGCACTGTTATTTTACTGTACATACTGCTGTTTTGATTATAAGACAGGGTTTTATAAGCGTAGTGTTCCACCAACATGTCTCCCCCCCCCCCCAATAGTAAAGCGACCAGGTTTTATATAAGCGCAGTAAACCAATGAGATAAGAATGTCACAACACACGTTATGTGTTTCCTTTTCCTTGGAGCAATGTTTACAGTTCAAAAGCCATAAAACTGACCACAAATGGAAAAGGCATTGTATAGCTGTAATGAGTTATCCTTGTGTACTCACGTCTCGTAGCAGATGGACTACATGTTTATTTGAACTCTCTGCAGGTAGTGCTTGCAGTATACCACTGGGTGGCAGTAGTGTATCGTTGTTCTTAACTTGGAGTTTTATTCTCATGTCAACTACTTCATGCTAGATCTTTAAAAACCGGTTGTTTTACTGACATAGTGTCATCAGGGCTTTCTTCCAGTGATGTTTTTCATTTGTTATTGTGCACATTATCAATAGATATGCAACTATAAGGAAAAGATTGTTATGAATTGTAAAGCCCAATCTCTGAGGATATCTGAAGGATCGACAGCTGTCATTTGTGACAAAGACCTAAAATTACTGTTTGGTTCCAGATTGTGTTTCAAAGGTCTGGTGCATTTCCCAGGTGAGGCCACAGCCGCGCACCTGGCTGCTCAGCCACAGATAACAGCAGCTCTCAGCCCGGACACTACATATCCTGCCATGACGGGAGATTGTACAAATATGATTTGGATACATCTGTGCTGGAAAAGAACTCCCACATCTCTGCTTGAAAAAGCTTTGCATAACAATCCCGAGGCACGAGAAAGAAAGGGCAGACCGACAGAGAAAGAGAGAGGGGAGGAAAACTAGGGGGAAAATGGGTTGAGGCCCGTGATGCATGGTGTGGGCCAAGAAGCTGCCAGCATCCCAGCCGCTCCATGTCTGGCCTGGCACAGCATTAAGCGGGCTGTGTTGGGGCCTGTCAAAAGCTCATCATGGCAAGGAAGCCGTCTCTGTGGGGATGCTGCGGGGGTGCCAGGGCACGGCAGGGGGGAGAAACCAGAGACCCTGCCCGGCAGCTTGGTCATAATGAGGAGGGAAATTCTTATTCTTGCATCCCCATTAATGTTACAACAACAATACACTTTTGTCCAACTTTTTTTTTCTCTCTCCTCACGCATTTTATACTACACATTTTCTTTGTTTACGCCCCTCATCTTGCATTCAGTGAAATTTGAGCCTTGAATCATTTTTTATAGTTAAATGATATCATATGCTTCCACATCCTGATAAAGGTACCTATTGTAATAATTGAAGTTATATATCTTGATACACGAATCTCCTTGTTCTCAGTGAACTCTTAAAGTCTGAGCCATCCTTTTCCAATTCAAGTTGATTATCTCAGTGTATTATATTCAGTAAACGCCTGGTTGAAGGATTATAAAACTCTGGGTAATGTCAGTTGTGGCAATCAAGCAAAGTACCAGTTTGTGAAGGTATAATTTCTTGGCCAGTGTTGTTTGTGACA